GACCACATATGGAGGCAGTGGGACGATGAATATTATTTGAGAAAAAAAAACATGAAGCACTTTTAAAGTTTTATATATATATATATATATATATATATATATATATATATATATATATATATATATATATATATATATATATATATATATATATCATGGCAGTGCCACAAATTGGCATCTTTGTTGTCCCTACAGAGAAAATTGACTATCTGTTCTAACCTATAACACCATCAAAACCAGTTATAAATCCTGGAGAATAATTTGAGTTTGTCATTCATCAATTAGGTTGTCAGTAAGGCAATAAGAACATACAAAACTATGAAGTAAATAAAAACAATATATATGTCAAGTCCTTCAAAAAAAAATTAGGAAAAGATTTATCCTGTGCTGCTAAGCATTAAGTAGGTTTAAATCAAGTCAGCCAAAAAGACTAAAGTTGTCTCCATCAATAATTATTTGATATGATAGCATTAAGTATGGAAAATGTACAATGATGACTTAAGTACAGTTGGAAGATCTAGTTGTGTTTCTCAAGGACTGCAATCCTTATAACAAGTGTTTTAGCCTTAGCTACAGTTATTTTAGCTTGACATATGATAGATTTAATGGTATACTTATACCCTTAAGTTTCCTGAAAAGAAAAAAGAAAAGGGCATCTGATAGAAACAATTTACCCATCTCCTTATTTTAGATTGCTGCACTGCTTGCAGTTATATGAACATGCAGTAGGCCAGAGATTGTGTCTGCTGCCAAAGCACATTTCATAATGCAAGGATTCTATCTGTTTGCTTGATTGCATACAGAGGATTTAGATGTCAAGAATATAAGAAACAAGAAAACAGTAATACCTATAAGCTAAGAAGTACACGAGAAACAAAAATGAAATTTATTGTTCTTGTTAGTTCCTGAATTACTTACTGATCAATGAGAACAATTTGTGCCTTTTTTCAAAGTTCCAAACTTTCTTTGCTTTCCAGAGCTAATGATGGAATGATGAACTAATACAGGAGAAATGAGTTCTCAGCTTGAACAAAATGGAGTGGGCAAAGGTCTCAATCTGTTGGTATGTGCCTACACCATTGATTAGCTGCCTCAGCCACCTTATCTCCATATATTCCTTCAGACAAGTCTTATCTTGAAGAAGACTTCTCTCTTCTTGACATCATTCAAGAAGATGATCATAACTCATATAACTCAATGTAGCAAAGGATGATGCCATGCCATCCATGCATGAGGCAAATCAATTCAAGCCAAACCTATCATTGTGCAAACAACCCCTCCCTTTCATGGCATAACAGAGGCAAAAAAATATAAGACAATGGATCTCCAGCTATCTTTCTGCTTGAAGAGCTGGGAATCTCATGTGCAGTGACTTGCTATTGTCGGTGTTCAAGACAATATACCAACCATTTTTAAGATATAATTTCCAGATTGAGTGTACCTATCAAATCATTGCTGCTTGTTACATGTCACCAACTCCTCAAAATGCTTCACATCCAATTTCCAGTTCATGATCTTTATTACTACACTGTTGTTGTTAAGATTATATGGGGCATTTAGAAGGCAGATTAATCTATTCTTCAAATAGAGCTGTTTACTTCATGATTTGTGTAGCATTCATTATCAAGCAATTTGGGTTCTTTCAATGCAAAACACAAGCATTAAAAGATTATCTTAATGCATCTGCCAAAACCGTGAGATGCGTAGAACACCCAACATATATTACTCCAACCCTCCCCGCCATTTCCAAACACTGCCAACATCCATCTTTCGAGGTGGAGATACAGTCCAAAGAGAGCCATGGGAGTTGCCATTAGGATCATGAGGAGATCCATCAATGCCTTCTTCCATGACTACCACTGTTTCACCCCCATTGCTGTTCTTCTTGTCTTCCCTGCTTCAGCCTCCCTCCTCCTTTCCCAGGCACCAATCCCTTACTCCACGACAGTCCTCGAGACCATCTCGTCCCGCCTGCGGTCGCTGTTCCAGGCCGCGAGGTTTCCCGTCACCTCTACATTCTTCTCCCTTCTCAACGTGAAGCTCGCACAAACGGGCTTCTCCTTCGTCTTCACGCTGCCGTTCGTCCTCACCTTCTTGCTCCTCGCAAAAGCATCCATAATTCACAACGTCTGCGGCGGCCCTCGCCGCAAACGAGCCCCGCCTCGCCTCTCTTCTTCTCTCCGCCTCTACCGCTCGATCCTCCCGACGCACCTCTTCAACTCCTGCCTCGTTCTGTCCGCCAACGCCAGCGTTTTCGCCTTCTTGTCCGTCGTGTCCAACGCAGTGGACCTTCTCGGCCTCTCGACGAGCAACTCCATGCTTGTTCTCTCTGCCGCTGGTGCTGTTCTGTACTCCATCGCCGTTGCCAACACGACGGTGATCTGCAGCCTGGCGATCGTCGTCTCTGCGACGGACAACTGCCGCGGCTACATCCCAGTCCTCAAGGCCTGCATGCTCATCAGGGGAAGGGTCAAGACTGCGTTATCCCTGGCCTTGTCTGCCAACCTGGGAGTGGCCGCAGTTGAAGCTTTGTTTCAGTATAGGGTGGTGAGGCAATACGATCTTTCGGGGAAACTGGATTCATCTCTTCTCTGGGAGGCACTCTACATCTCTTACGTCCATGCTCTCCTTGTTGCACTCGAGGTGATCATGAACTGCATGTTCTTCAAGAGCTGTCAAACAGATTGCTGCTCCAACTGGAAGAATGGGTATGACCGTCAAGAAAAGTTAGAACCAGAAGAGAGCTTATGATTCCCATGCTTTGGAATAAATGTTATCAAGCTAAGATCAAATTCCCGTAATGGTTAAGCGATAGTTTGCCTCAAAGGAATTGATGTTCCATATGTTTTTTCCTGTTCACAAGGTGTCAGCTCGAGACATTTAATGGAAACAGGTGAGCGCGTGCACTATTTTCTCATATATTTCATAGTTTCCTGCACTCATCGTCTGTAAACACTTCTTGAAATAAAGAACTAAACAGAACTCAGTAAGCACTTCCCTCGTGATACAACTGCTTTTGGTTGGATTACATGACATAGCAAAGCAGGTCAGGGCGCAGATGTAGTGAACGGCTCAGCAATCCTACAAAACTCCTGTTTGTACTAGTGTGCTTGATACCCTGGAATCCCGAATGCCAAGCCTGACTTGTTAGAGCAACTCAGAGTTCCGTAGCATCAGGGTTGAGACATGGAAGACTGGATTGATCGAACCCAACAACTTGCATATACTCTGTAATCACCACATAGTCCATGTGGATAGAAAAGAAGCTTGCCCTGTTCTTGGATCACCAAGCCATGGAGTCTCCAGCAATCAGAAAAGAAGCAACAATGACAGCATAAAACCAAGAACATAGTTGGATTTAGAAGATGAAGATTGCTCTATGGCAGATGTCGGATTCGTCTTTAAATTTCTGCGTAGCAAACTACACCAGTAACAGAGCCTTGCGGCAAGGAATCCAATGAAAGATAATAGTAGGATTTAAAGATGAATGAGCTCTTCACAAAGTTAGAGAGAAGCTTAATATGTACTCGTAATATAATCGACTAATCTCCATATCATTTGTAAAGAATGCTTCTTGATATTCATTATATTAATCTAAACTTTGATGACCTGTGGCTTGGCTGGAAAAAAAAGTTGAAATCACTAAATACTTACTGCTGATAGAATATGCTTGCCACTGCCACTGCACAATCCAGAACAGGTCACACACTTTCCACATTGCAATGTTATTGATCGAAACTGAAGAACATCATGCAACATTTTTCACATTAACAGTCATGTTTGTTTGAATCAGATCCATCGGGTGTGGTTGCTTAGCATGCGCATCATCTCATGAACAGAGGAGATGCTCTGATCTGTGACAGGACTCCTTATCTACATGTTGAGTTTAATTTTTAGTGAAGAACAAGTCATTTGGCACAGTTCTTCGGAAATTGTGATCAACAAGTCAAAAAAATTTCCCTACTTATGCTGATTCAAACCACTTCTTTGTTAGTGTTTGATTCCAAGTGAATCATAATACCCCAATTGGGGGTTTAGTTCTGCAAAAAAGACCCATATCTCATTGCCACACATGATGGTTGAATACATTCGATTAGAGGCCCATAATATCACATATCTAAGCTTGATTAGGTCCATATCAGATGGCCTCTGTGATACAAGA